CGAAAATTAACACCTAAGGAGATTATTTGCAACTTAAAAGATTATACATATATTAACACACACGAATAACAAGTCTACATTTTGCTTGTGAGTTACAAAATGATTTTCCAATTACTCTTTATCATATATTATTTCAACTATGCACTTTTATTCTATAATCTTTTAATATTTTCTATCATCAATTTAAAATATCTTTAATTTTAACAAAGTATTTATATCAATTATATTTTATATCATAGCAAAATTAAATACAATAATTATTAATACAATTTAAATATATATATATATATATATGTAAGCAATATTATATTTACTCCTACCTTATTTCTTTCTAATTTTTATCACATTACATAATTTTAATTATATATATATATATATATATATATATATATATATATAAAACTGTTAATACAAATAATTATATAATCAAATATAAATAAATTAAATATAAAAAATTCTCTTCAAATATATACAAAAAAATAAATATAAAAAATTATCTTTACATTTAAAAAAATTAAATACAATGAAGTTCATGAAATTCATTTAAATATCTTATTTATAAATTTACAATTAATCATAATATTATCATTTTAAAACAACATAAAAAACTTACAAAATTATTTTATTTACTTTTCAAATTATTAACTATTCAAAATAATAATATTTTAAAATTTCTGTTACTTACTTATTTTTAAATTAATTATTATTACTAAATAAAAATATATTTCTCAATTTTAATTTTATATTAAACAATCGTAAATTTAAGCTTTTATTCAAATAATTTTCCTTACATAATTTTATTCTTTATTTTTTTTTCTAATTTATCCTCCTAACCTATTTTTAAACAAATTACTATTATTACATAAGAGTATATTTCTCAATTTTAATTTTACATTAAATTATCATAATTTTAAAATTTTATTCAAATAATTTCTCTTAAATCATCTTATTGTTTATTTGAAATTTACTAGTGTTCCACTTTTAATAAATAAAATTTAATTACTGAATCTCAGTTTTTATTTTACATTATAAACTTCACTTTAAATAATTTTCCATATATAATCTTATTATTTATTTTTATTTTTCTAATGTTTATTCTAAATATATTATTAGATAAATTATTAATACTAAATAAATATACATTTACCAAATTTAATATCATAATTATAAAATATTATTCTCATAACTTTTCTTATATCATCATATTATTTATTATTATTATTTTTTTTCTAAAGTTTTTTTTAAATAGAATTAATTTAAAATTAATTTTTTTAAAAATCGATTTTATTTCAATATATTAACGAATTTTACATTATTTAAGAATTAAGATAAATAAGATAATTTAAATAAATCCTCCATTCATCCTTTTAAAGATAAGATGATGATGAATGAAATTCATGCACTCTGAATAATTAACGGAAGAAGATTTGTATTCCTGTAAATTTGAACCAATAAAAGGTTAGAATTTGACATCCCAAAACTGAATTCTGGCTTGACACAGAAGTGTGTTATATGTGAAAATAAAACACACCGTATACTGTATGTTAACATGAAAAGTAAAATAGTACTAGGCTAGAAAAAAAAAAAACGAAATTTGACTCTATTTAGAGAGTGTTGAAATGTGACTTTTTTTCATAAATAATATTGTTTTTAAAAATATTTTCAAAAATAGCACCTCTGCAACTTTATTTACACAACTAGCACTGTTAACTGTTCACGTAATAAAATAATATTATTTCGCGCAACTGTTTACTGTTCACGTATTAAAATAATATTATTCCGCGCAATGAACTCTCGCTCAAGCGTAGAAACCCCTCGCTTGAGCGAGGAAATCTGTAACAAATGGGTAATCTCGGGTCAATTATTGCTCAAGCGAAGAAACCCTTCGCTTGAGTGAGGAAATCCGTAAGAACGCAGTTATCTCCGGTCAACTCTCGCTCAAGCGACGGCTATTTCGCTTGATCGAGAAGTGATTAAAATATGTGGTGACCCAAGTTGCGTTATGTGGCTAACTGCGTTGGACGTTTAGCTAAATAATGCAACTTGGGTCACCACATATTTCAATAACTTTTCGCTCAAGCGAAAATAACCGAGATTTTAGATAGCGGTTCTAGAACTAACCGCTATTAAAAATATATTTCAAAAGAACTTCAAAAAATTGTTGCGAATCCTTCTTGAAAAAGTGCTAAGGTTTGCTTGAATGATTGTTTAAGGATGTGTAAAAACTAATATTCAATGTATGTTTAAAAAGTTCAAGCAAACTGATTTTAAAGAGTATTTTCAAAACTGCTGCATTAATTAATCTGTTGAAAGTTTGTTTTAATCTGTTGAAATAGCCGTTTCAATCTGTTAAAAGTCCTTTCAATCCATTAATACGTTCTTGATTCTTTAACAGATTTGTTTTAGCTGATACTACAACGGTTATATCAATTAAAACACTTTACAAAACTTTTCTAAGTTTGATTCAATCGATTGTTTCGTGTTTTAATCAATTGATATACTGCAAAACTTTCTTATAAAACTTTCCAAGTTATTTTAGCTGATAAAAAGAAGTTTTAATCGATTAAAACTTTGTACAAAATTTTTCCAAGTTGTTTTAATCGATTGAAATGCGTTTTAATCGATTGAAACAGATCTGATCGGTCATAATTCAATTCTGATCGATCATAACCAACTCTAATCGGTCATAAATGCATTCTGATCGATCATTCTGACCCTTTAAGTGATTTTAATCGATTGAAACGTGTTTTAATCGATTGAAATAAGTTCTGATTGCTCATATTTCAAATCTGATCGGTCATAATGAGTTCTACAGGGTTTTAATCGATTAAAAGTAATTTGTATCGATTAAAATACTGTAAAAACACTTCTTTGATCATTCTAAGCCACTCCACAGAATTGATGCTTGACAGCCCCACAACCTCAAGCACTTTAACCCTGAGTAACCAACCAACCATTAATCAAGAAATTTTAAATTATCTTTACATGCTATCATCCCCATATTCACCTTCAATGAATCAATTACAGTCAGCTCCAGGTAAAACAATACAGACACAAGATAATTTCATAAACAGAACAAACTCCCCTTTTAGCAACATCATATAATGCAACCTGGGTCACCTGCAGGTTTTCTCGCTCAAGCGATGAACTTCTCGCTCGAGCGAGAATTGACCATAGCTAAACGTCCAATGCAGTTAGCCACATAATGCAACCTGGGTCACCACATATTTCAATCACTTCTCGCTCAAGCGAAATTACCGTTTCTTGAGCTAGAATTTACCCGAGATTTTAGATAGCGGTTGTAGAATTGACTGCTATTAAAAGTATATTTTACATAGCGGTTAACGTGGAACCGCTATTATATGTCGATTATTTTAAAATTATGATCGATTATTTCACGTTATAATCGATTATAAATATATTCGCTCAAGCGAAGTGTGTCTCGATTGAGCGATAGTTGTCCACGGTCCAACTATATGTCTCACTTTTAAGAGCGGTTAATATTTTAACCGCTCTAAGAAGTAACATATAATAGCGGTTCCACGTTAATCGCTATCTAAAATATATTTTTAATAGCGGTTAGTTCTAGAACCGCTATCTAAACCCAAGTTGCATTATTTCGCTAAACGTCCAACGCAGTTAGCCACATAACGCAACTTGGGTCACCACATATTTTAATCACTTCTCGCTCAAGCGAAATATCTGTCGCTTGAGCGAGAGTTGACCAGAGATAACTGCGTTCTTACGGATTTCCTCGCTCAAGCGAAGGGTTTCTTCGCTTGAGCGAGAGTTCATTGTGCAAAATAATATTATTTTAATATGTGAACAAGAAATGAGTTACACAAAATAATATTATTTTATTACGTGAACAAGTAAACAATGTTAATTGTGTAAATAAAATTATAGAGGTGTTATTTTGAAAAATATTTTAAAAAACATATTTATTTATGAAAAAAAGTCTTGAAGTCGTGCAATTTTATCAAAGGTTTTGTTTTTATGCCGTAATGGCAACGTGCCGCCAATACTCCGGATTGAAGGAAACATTTTTCTATGACCGTACGATTGCCCGAGTCTTCTAGATTCGTTATCATAGAATGGTTGAGATTCATAGTTGAATGTGATTTAAAGTGACGATGAAATAATTTTTACTAAATATATATTTATTTTTAATTGAATATTTTTAATGCTTGTTTCCTTTTCATACTGAAACAATGTATCCCGCCCACATGAAAGCACTAATTTTTCTTTACAATAATGTTTTAAGAAATGTTTTTAATAGAAAAATAACCTTGATTTATTTTTAATGTTAAATAAAATTCCATGAATTTTATTAAATAAAAATAAAAGTAAAAATATTTTAAATGTGTTATTTTGTCGCGTTGCTCTTTCTCAGTTCCAGTTCCGTCGTCTTTCACAGGACGAAAGAACTTACATAGAAACTTTTTGCTCACGAAACTTTTTTTTTTTATTCAAAATTGGAAAATAATAAATCTGAGGACTATAAATACGACCTTCCCCTTCCTTTGGCCAAATTCCAAACTCGCCGAAAAGTTTGAGATCTGAGTGTGTGGCTTACTTCTTCCTCCTTCCCCGGTAAGAAAGAATGAGCTATTAATTGTGAACCCTAATCCAAATCCTTGTTTATTGTGGATTATGATTTTCTGAGATGAACTGCATTCCGGTGTGTTAGGGTTCACTGCGCCGATGACTTTTCTTCTGATTGTAAAGCGATCGTCATCCACCGTGTGCCATTATCCCTTCATGAACCGGGGCAGGCTCTGGCGTTCTCGGAATTTCTTCCGCCACTGGACTTGACCTGACCCCAATTAGGGTTATATATTCAATCACTCTTTTCTCATTTTTCCTTTCAAAATCTGGGTTCCTCTTCTCTTCCTGCGGACCTGTTTCTTTCTCTTCCATTGCTTTGGGTTGCTTCACTCTGAACTGCTTAACATTTCGATTTTTCATTTTCATTTCTTATTATTTTTGTTTTTCTCTGGATGGCCCGAAGAAATTCGACTCCAGGGTTTCGGTTCCGTCCCACTGATGTTGAGTTGATTGAGTTTTTTCTGAAGAGGAAGGTTCGGGGTAAGAACATTCCTAGCGGAGTGATCGCCGAGCTTGACTTGTACAAGTATGCTCCGTGGGATCTTCCAGGTTTGCGTTCCATTTTTTTTTCGTAGTACTTTACTGTATTACCTTTTTTTATTTTTTTCTGTGTATTTTAATATGGTTTTGTTTTTCAGATAAATCTGTGCTCCAGAGTGGGGATTTGGAATGGTACTTCTTTTGCCCGCGGGGGAAGAAGTATTTGACTGGAGGGAGGTTGAATCGTGCTACGGAGGCTGGGTACTGGAAGACTACTGGAAAGGATAGAGAGATTGAACACAAGAATCGAGTTGTGGGGATGATTAAAACTCTGGTTTTTCACACCGGTAAAGCCCCTAAGGGAGATCGGACTGATTGGGTTATGCATGAATTTAGACTTGATGACAAGGACATGGTTGATGAAGGAATTTCGCAGGTAAAAAATATTGACTAAGCTAATTTGTTGTTGGATTATTTGCAGTTTCTAGGGTTTGGGTCTGTGAGGATGTCTAGTATGACATGTTTTGTTCGATATGGCATCAATGTGGAAATTTTGTCCTATTATGGCAGTAGGTACTTTGCATGTGCTTAGATTGAATGACATGGAGTGACAACCTTTATTTGTTTTCTTGTTACTTTGCATTTGACTAATGTGGCATCCCATCATGCTGTCTGCATTTGGTTAAGGGATGGTAATGGGTAGGGTTTGAGTAAGGCACTTTACTACCCATTGCCTTTATTGCGCTTTGAAACAGTATCCATACCATACCCGTCTCCATACCTGCATGACATGAGTAGTAACTTCAATCATCATCCATGTACCTTTTGGGTACCTATCCAGACCTTGTTCTGAATGTTCTGAAGGGTACATCGACTTTCAAACTTGTTCAACAATTCCCCTTTAACCATTAAAACAACTAATTTAATAGAATAAAATGCCTTCTATTGAAATTCAAACTCAATCATGAAAGAAAGACCTTTTTTTTTTCTCAAGATCCCAACATCATCAAGGTATAAGAATACACAAAAGGAAAATGTAGGGCATAAATAAAACAGGTGAAGACTTGCAGGACATTACATGAATAAAACAACCAATAAGCTCACAACAAATGGGGACAGAATTATAGATAGGACAACAAACAATGGCTTACTAAAATGATGTTGAATGTTCACTATAGTGGAGCAGACCTGTCCTTCCCTTTCATTAAAATGGAGCCTTCAATTGAACAGAGGCTCCAGTACTCCACCAAACCAGACCCTCACCGGAACAAACACAAATTAATTTGTGGGAGAGACAAAAAGAAAAACTAATTGTAACTAAAAATGAAAAGTGCGATTCACTGGAACACAGGGTTTGTTTGCACTTAAGACTCATTCTGGATCAAGACGCAAATTTGAACAAGGGTTTGTCTAAACCTGAATTTTATATATTTTAATAAGTTTGGGGCAGGTTGGATACTATAGTACTTGTAACTGCACCTTTCCCAATTAAAATTTGTGGATAAACACCCGCTCTAGACCAATCTCCATTAAGCGGTTATTTATCTATCCTATCCATATACGGATATTCACAAGGTTTGTGTACACTTTGCCATCTCTAGTTTGGTTTGCTGACTTTTTTCTATTTCTAGTAAGTTTATTTAACTATTCTACTGGCTTGTGTATGTGTATGTATTGCAGGACTCCTATGTAATTTGTAGAGTATTTCAAAAGGAAGGTCCTGGTCCTAGGAATGGTGCACAATATGGTAAACCATATGATGAGAAAGACTGGGATACAGATGAGGAAATTGACTCTGAACAATCTGCCGGTGTTGTTTCTGTGTCTGCACCTGTTCCTATACAACCTAGTGAAAGTCATATTTCTGTTGCAAATGACATCCATACCTCTACAAGTGGATGTGTTGGATTGTCCTCTCTATCATCTGCATCAAAATTGATACCTTCTTGCTCAGCACATCCTGCAGCTCCCAACAATCAAGCTGACTCTGTATCACATGTATCAGAATTGATGCCCTCTTGCTCAACACTTCCTTTTGCTCCAAACTATGAAGTTGACTCTGTATCACGTGTATTAAAATTGATACCCTCTTGTTCAATTCCTTTTCCTCCAAACTCTGAAGTTGACTCTGCATCATGTGTAGCAAAATTGATACCCTCTTGCTTGGCACTTACTTCGGCTCCAAACACTGTATCAGAACTGATTCCCTCTTGCCTAGAACATCCTTCGACTTCAGCTCCAAACCATCAAGTTGATGATAACATTTTATCTTTGCTAGATTATTTCAAAGAAGATGATGACACATTGGCTATGAATGAAAACAATGGAATTGAGGTGTGAAATCTATTTATTTTTTGTATTTTTGGATTTGTTGTGGAATCTTCGCATGATATGTTTTTCTTTTAATGGATGGTGTCGGATTCTTTCGAACACATGATTGCTATTATATCTTTTACGTCGTGTTTCTTATACTCAGAAATAACCTTGTTCTTGTTTATCCTAGGTTGCTGCCCATAAATAACCTTGTTCTTGGTAGATTTCTTTTGAATGTACTGTGTTTATAACATCCTGCTCTGTGTTTCTGGCTGCCTGTTTCATTCTACTGTTGTCAACTCTACGTAAGTGAACTGATTCAATTTGCCTCTGCCCTTCCCCGCTCCCTCTCAAAAGACTTGCAAATTGGTAGATACTTTTTTCATAAGAAATAAGCTAAGAAGCAGACGGTATTGCAGTCTTTCGTGCTATTCTGTTCGGGGATGTGGGGCTCTAGTTTTTATTATGTTTTAATTAAGTAGTTTGGCAATTTTTCTGCTCATTCTCGTAGGCTTTCCTGGGAGACACACAGACGTGTTTGACTGACATTAGACAACTGGAAAGCACACTTGTTCAATAGTGGAAGCTACTAATCATGATGCTGGAGTATTATAATGCAAACTGATGTTTCTATTTCATATTTTTATAAATTTATTTCAAGGCTTTTTCGTTAGATTTTATTTTAATCTTATAATATATTCAATAAGTCAATTTTATACTTGCTATATCTTCTATCTATGCTGATTTTGTGATTGTGGGATGACAGAAGGTTGATACTGATCATGCGAACAATGGTGAAGGTGCACCATGTTTGGATCCAGATGTGATTTTTGAGAACTTAGGAGACCTTGGCAGCTTGGTTGGATTGGGAGATGGCAGTTTTTCCTGTGGCCAGAAAAATAGACTTTCCACTAGCGATATGCTTTATACAGGTGGTGATGATATGCTCGGGTCTTGGGAACCTCAAGACTTCTTGGAGTTGATGGACCTAGAGGGGCCCCAATCCTGGCAGAATAAACTTGGCAGTTCTAGCGAAGACAAGTAAAGGATAGAAAATTGACACAATTATAGCCAAGAGTAACTAATGTGGACTAGAAAAGAAGTTATGATTCTCTCGTTTTTTACTTCAAAACTACCATGATTAGTTATGCCTATTGTAACATTTGTTTCTGTAATTACTTACCATGATTTGAATGGATAGGAATGTGGTTTAAAATCTAGTGATTTTTTATCAAATGTTATGTTTGATTAAAATCTAATAATGCTGCAATTTGATCCAAAATTTACGTTCATTGCATGTTTTGCCTAGAAATTAATTTATTTAATATTCCTTTGGATTTTTTATTCTCGTATTCTAACTGCCTAAGCCCAATTAGAACAACTATTCGAAGACAAAAGGGACATGCACGACAAGGGAGTCTCAGTTGCATCATTGATATATATATATATATATATATATATATATATATATATATATATATATATATATATATATATATATATATATATATATATATATATATATATATATATATATATATATATATTTTTTTTTTTTTTTTTTTTTTTTTTGAAATTTCCTTTAAATCAAATATCTATTTTACAATTTGTTTTAATAGGTTATGATTTTTTTATTATTATTACTATGATGATTAAATAGAGTTGTAGAATAATGGTATGAAAAGAGTAATACAGATATTATAGCGTAAGTTTCAATATTTTGTTATTTGAGGGTGTTTTATCATTTTTCAAACATTCTTCTAACAACATTGATCATAAAGCAACATTGATTTATAAAAAATATAATATAAAATAGATGTAAGATGGATGTTTTATTATTCGAGGCACCCTTCTTTTTATGTAAAGATTTAATTGTAATTCTCCTCTTTATATTTAATAAAATTTGAAATTTTAGTATTTGTAATTTTTTAAATATTAGTCACTTAATTTTTAGATATATGTAATTTTGGTCTCTGACTTTTATGTAAAAATTTTATTTTTTTTTAACTTCGAATCATGTATAATTTTGTTCAATATTCAGTTAATTATTTATAGCTTTTTGATATTTAAAACATGATGAAACGAGATTAAGAAAAAAAGTATAATATGTGTAATTTCTTTTACTGTATAAGTAAAGCTAGCAACTAAAGGAAGTTGTCAAATGTAATTTAACATATTTGTAAAATTGAAAATAGAATAGTTATATATGATTAAAAATGAAGGATAAAATATATTTACATAGTAATATAAGGACTACAATTATAAATAATTAAAAATTAAGATATTAAAATTCTAAACAAAGTTAGACACTAAAATTGTAAATTTTGTGAAGCATAGGAACTGAAATTACAATTAAGTTAAATTAATAATATCTAGTTGTATGTTAGTCAGGAAGTTTGGAGTGATATCAGTCTGGGGCAATGAATTGTGTTTAAGAAAGGATAGAAAAAGGAAATGAACGAAACCTGTTGATTAGTTTATCCAACAAATGAAAACAGAGTCTTGTATTGCAGCAGATCGAAGTTTGAGATCCTAATTTCGAAGACCAAGGACTTGAAGCATAGACCAAAATGACATGTTTACGTGAGTCCCTTCGCTATTCAGATGATAAAAGTGAATCATATACAGAAGTAATCCTTGGAAAGAATGTTATAGTATCAATATTCCCCCACACTTTCTATCTTTCTATTTTAATGACATGGAGGTGTGTATCAGCTTTCCAGCTGGCCATCTAAGCAATACGGGCACTCTTTACAACTCGAGTTAAGTCACATGCGCCTGATCCCTAGAAGCATAACAAGAATACTTTGTGCCATCACAACTTATTACTGCACTAACGCATTCAACTCGTTAACCTAAGTTAAATTGGCCAGCATGGAGCCTCTTGAGCAATAAACAACAAGCAAACGGATAGAGGAAAATTCTCCCTACTATATAGCCATGAAATAATCGCCATAGATCTATGAAGTTTATCTACGTTATTCAGTGTACACAGTCCAGAATCCCTCACCTAGTTGCAACTCTTTACACACACTACACAAACAGATCAATTGACAAATAGTGGCACAATTTACCTTGACTCAATGGCATGAGTTTCAGAGCCTCTTAAGAATGACCTGCGCCACCAAATTTGAAATGCCTTGCTTAGATTTGGACATTCAGTGCCATGACTTGAGAAGTGTCGAAACCATTCCATGAAGAGTATGTACTGTTGATTTAAAGGTAGAGTTAGAAGTGTCTGACCCATAGCCTCCTGCAAAACCTTTATATCAAGCCCTCTTCTGCATCTCTGAAGCCAACCAAAGTCCATCAACATAGGCTGGAACCATGCCTGAAGAAGCCCTGATCGTGCCTCCAACCGGCATTGCAATTTTCTAGTAACCATGGCAATAAAGAGAGTTGCTGACACACGACTTAGTTCATATCTAATCATTGGGGATGCACTATCATGCATTTTAACAAGTTGGTGCTGATCTGCCCATATGTTCACAAAGTCCTCTGCTATTTGCCCATCAAGCATGATTTCCAGCAGCCAATTGATGTTATCAACCTGCCTTGAGATGCGTTCAATTAGTGGCTTATTTTTATCTTTCTTTGTTAAGCTTTCAGGAGGGATGGTATCCGATGCCTCCTCGAAGAGGCTTTCCAGTGAGTCCAAACATGCGCGGCAAACAGAATATAGATCCTCTTTGTTGAGGTCGAGTTGATTTTTCTCATACACGGAGCTTTTGCAAAGAAGACCCTTCACCAGTGGTTTTAGTTCATTTCTTGCATTGGCGTCCACACAAGTGGTGATAGACCATAAAAGCTGTCGAGCTACATTTGGCTGGGAAGAAGAATCCACTGAGTCGTGCAAGTAAAGCCTTCCTAGGATGTCTCTTGTTGTTGCTTCATCAAACTTTAACCTTGTGAATAGACTTCTCAACTTTTCTTCTTCTTCTTCAGTCCAAGGCACAGCTTCAAGATATTGTAAACACATTAAAACACCCTTGGTGAACATGATGCCTGCTGAAACCTAGTAATGTAATCAAACAACCGTGTAAGGGACTAAAGAGGCACCAATGTGCAGGCTCAACACAAGAAAAAAAAAAATATTCTTCAATACCAAAATCATGTAGAAAGTTCATTCTAAAGCACATTGTCGCCTTAATACTTTCTTCTAGAAAATACAACATTTTGTTCGAATTTCATGCCGAGTCATGGAACTTTTCCCAGCGAAACAACCCATTTCCAAGCGAAGCACTTCCCATGGAAATACAAATAAAATGAATGCAGAGAGGCAAGAACCAAAAAATGATAAGATTTAAGACAATTACGTAGATGATGTTTTTTGTGTTATTCCGAGAAAAATAAAGTTTTTATCTGGGTAATCTATTTTAGAAGTTGTATTACAGGAATTATTTAGATGAAACAAGTTCCTGTTACATAAACAACACCAAAAACATCTAAAAAATTTCATTGAAGTTTTCTCCTTCAAAAAGTTATGCACTATTACATCTGTTCTAGTGCATTATAATACTTGAAATGTGAACAACAAAAGAGATGGACACCAAAAATTAAGACCGGAAGAACTAATAAGCACAAGAACTCCCTCAGAGAAAAACTTCAAAGACCCAAAATTTAATATAAAAAATATATATATTTTATTCGTATATAGAAAAAAAAAGTAAAGTGAAATGTGAACCTCCAAAACATCAATGCATCGAAAAACGCCAATGTTGAGAAGTCGTTTGGTGAGGCAATCGTCTTTCTCAAACATGAGCTCAATTGTCTCTCTGAACACGCCCAAGTTCTCAACCTCAGGAACCTCTATTCTACACATTTTGTTACTCCCACTCGAAGACGCAATACCTTTCTTGTAATCCTCTATCAACCCCGCGAACACTTGGGAATTCGCGCACAGAACCCCGGAGTTCACCTCCAGAACCATACACCCGCCGTTCTTCCCTCTCAGGCTCATCCGCACGTCCCTGTCACCGGTCACCGGCGCCGGAGATTGCGGCCTCGGAAGCTCCGGCGAAGGGGAGGGAGCGGAGGTGGCAGCGACGGGATCGGAGTCGATGGGGGAAACTCTGCCCGGAGAGAGTATCCTGCGAGGGTCGATCCGAGAGGGGATACGGGATTTGGGGGAGGTCGGGAGCGAGAATGTGGATTTGGAGTTGGGTTCGGGCTTGCGAGGGGGAAGAGGTTTGGAGGCGGTGAGGTTGTCGGGGCTGGAGGGAGGGACGGCGAAGGAGCAGCACCAGGTCCGGCGCCGGTGGCGGTGGCGGTGGCGGTGGCGGCAATGGGATGGGTCCATGTGTGTTGTTTGAGTGGGTTTTAGAGGAGCAGCATGGGTGTTTGTGAGTGTATAGCGGCGGTACTGAGTGTTGCTTTTTAACCCTTTCTTTCTCGAGAGTTGGGTCGTGTGAAGAAAACGAGGAAAAGGTTTTGAGCTTGAGATAAGACACTTGATAACATTTCCACTTGTTTTGATGGATTAATTAATTCTTAAACTTTATTTTGTGTTAATTTAATTTGGCTTAGGTTAGGGGACATCACATGCCATCAATCATATGCACACCACATCTCTCCAACTCAAACCCACGTCTCCACTTAATTATTTCCATCTCATTATTAATTTATTATGTAATCACTAATCATTTTTTTTCACTTTTTACTTGTAACTGAATATATTTTAATCAACTAGTTGAGGATTTAATAATTTTATTTTAGATATAAAGTAATTTATGTGGAAGATTAATATTCAAGATTTTCAATGTTAATAGTTACTATACTTTACTGTAAAATACTATGGTTAGTGTTTACTTTATTTTTTAGTATAATTTAAACAATTCTATTTGGCTTAGTATTTTTTTAAATTCAATAAAATGTGTTTTTAATCTTTTTAAAATTTGAAAATTCATTTTTAATTTATTTTGAAAATGATATCTGCTTTTAGTCTATATTATTATTATTATTATTATTATTATTATTATTATTATTATTAAATTAAACATTAGCTATATCTTCTTTTTATATGGAGTTATTCGAATCATTTCGAGGATAAAAAATAAGCATTTCAAAGATTTAATTACCATTAAATTGTTTCATTTTCATAAATTATCTATTCAAAATATTTTAAGAATCAAACATGTTGCATTTTAAAATTAGAAAGATTAAAAGCAAAATAGAAACTTTAAAATAACTAAAACTGAGGTTTGTAAATTTTAAAAGAAACAAACATATTTTATTATTCAAAATTGACTAAAAATAAATTCTTCAAATAACCATATATCCCTACATGTCACTGACACAACATTCTTAATTATAAAATCCTTTCTTTTCTTTTTTAAACTATGTACTTTGGTGTGTCCCCACAAACATTGAGAAGCACAAACAAGTGGTTCATAACATGAGGATGGTCTTCAATTCAACCATGTACTCTCTAATTAAGAATTAGAACCCATTAATTGTTATTTTATATAAAGCAAAGAGAGTGAAAATTATTGAAATAAGAAGTAATACATAACTATATAAGTATGCAGAAGAGTAAAAGTTGAATAAGAATGATGAAAAGCGTAGTGAGGTAGACCACAAATAGCATGATTGTTGGAACTAGGAAATTACTATAATATAGTATTTCAGTATTAGAATATAAGAATGACCCTTTTTTCCTTTGCTTGTTCATCAGGGAAGGAATACTCTCCTCTCCTTTCGCACTCCATTCCAATCATTCATTCATTAAAGGATCGTCTTTGCTTCCACTTTCAATATCTTCTTATTATTTTGCTTCACTCTTAATCTAAACAACATTTGTTTCTGTTTTACACACGATAATGGGTAAAATAAGGAGAAAATGAATATAGTATTTAACTAAGTATAGTGTAATGTATCTTTTATAGGAGTAGAAGGAAGAGTGCAAAGGAGGAAACTGTGTAGGTTCATTCATAGTTCATTGTAGGCTTGGAATCTTTGATGAAATGTTTTATAAAATAAAAAGAAAAAAAAAGCATAAAAACAAGGTCTTTCACTTTTTTATGCATTTCTTGTAATTTGTAACTTGTTCATTTCTGGGTTGTCTGTTCATTCTATCGACCCCAAAATTCTCGAGTTAGAGTTGTTGCACATCAATTCATATGTAGTGAGTATAGCATGAGATGTCGAGAGGCTTCATTTATTAGCGACAGAAGAAAAGAAAATGATGACGATGATGAAGCCCCACACGCATAGAGAGTTCGAGAGATACAATCATACCACACTACCAGACAATAACATCATTTCATTTCCCAAGCTTTCAATAATTCATTTATTGCCTTACTGGCCCGTACACATTTATTTTGTGCCTGACAAATCAGAACACTTGCCGCACGATTTCATTCGATAGAATCTTCAAATTTCATCCTCAAAATTTATATACAATGTGATCAAATACATACATTGACACGGCCATAAGAAAAATGATAGAAATTTAAATTATTTGAGATAAAAAATAAATACATAATAATAAAATAATACTAAAAATAGTATATTAAAGTATTGTATTTTAAAATATATTAAATTTATAATTATATAATCGTATTTATAAAAATTAATAAAACTTTAAAATATTATTATTATAATTAAGGAAATCAGATTTTCTTGTTGGGTCAATATACCAATTATGTGTAGTTATCGTTATTTTTTAATACCCCTCACAAGTTGGAGATTCAATAAGGTTCAACTTGGATATATTTATTTTAAATAGTATTGAAGATAAGACTTCGGTGAAGATATCAATCCATTAATCACGGAAAGATATACGAAGAAGATGCATTGATATTTTTTTCTAATAATATGATTGTTAATATCAAAATATTTAGTTTACTCGTAAAAGATCGTATTAATAATTATATGCAACATATTTTAATTATCACAAAATAAAATTAATATAAGAGGCATGAAGGTCTTGTAACAAGTAAGTAACCAACTACAACTTACAAGTATTAGAAACAAGTATTCTATACTCTATCTTTGATTATGATCTTAAACAGAATCTTGTTTCTTGGTCTTCCAAGAAACCAAGGACTTTCCTATGAGTAAATAATATCTTGTAGTAATTTTGCAAAGATTTACACAAACAACACAATATGCATCTTTAAACTCTTGGATTTGAATGGTTGATTCCTTGTTAAAAAATAAACATTTGTCAAGACAATACTAGAAGTATCAAAACACTTTGGTTGCAACTTTAAAATGAACTTGAATGCGTCTTGATATAAATTAATTCAATCATTATGTAGTATAAACAATGTCCAGATACGTAGCTAATTGAAATCAATCTCATAAATAATATATTTAAAAAATTAAATAGAATATCTATAAGTTTATTTATTAAATTATACCTGTTTATTTTTTTCTTTATCCTTATTTAGTAACTAATTATAATTAGATTAAATTACTAAATAAAAAATACATCTAATTCATAAATATTTGATATTCTTTTAATTAGATGAGTAATTGATTTATTATGATAAATAATTTAAAATTAACTATTTATGTTATCATAACTAAATTATTTATTATCATAATATATAAATTATTTACTTTTATCATAATTTTATAGTTAATATATTTTTTAGTTTCAATATTGATTTTTAAAAATTTACTTTAACATGTTTTTATCAAATTTCATTTAGTAGTTTTAATTAGAAGGATAAGTGGGAGAGGAGAAAAAAAATGAGAGGAGTGAAATAGAAAAGAGAAAAAGGAGTGAACGAGGAGAGAAAAAAAAATTTTGAGAGAGGAAAAAATTACTTATAAATAGTAAACAAATATATTGGAGTAAATAAATTAATAAAAATTGTATGTGAGTAATTTTTCTTTTAAAATATATTATTTACATGATTGATTCGCCTATTGTATTTATAAGGTAAATAGATGACCTACCAAACATTAAATCTAATTTTCTTATCAACATCAGTACGAGACTTTTCTTGACAAGTATAAGTTTAATAATATCATTAAATATAATTTTCTTATAAAATTTTTCATATCAAAATATTATTCACTTTTAAATTTTAATTGGTTAAAATTCTATTTTTTAAACATGTTTCGACGAAGTAAAGAAATAAGTGTTTTTATAAATTATTTTTAATCTTATTTTTATTACCAAACGATATTATGATAAATATATAAAATACTAATTTAATCATAGAGTATAAATAATTTAAATACAAATTTTAAAATATTTTTCATTTTTTATATTTTTCTTTTTAATCATAAGTTATTTAATTATTATTATTATATTTAATATATATATATATATATATATATATATATATATATATAAGAATAACTTACATTTTAATAATTATATATAATAATTAATTTTAAATAAACATAAAAAATATTTATTTATTCATTTCATTAGGATGAGTATCATGGTAGAACTCCTTGATTATTTACGATGCATAGTTGGATCCTTAATGAAATTTGGATTAATATGAGAACAATAATCTTTATTTTATACTAGATGAAATTGATGTTGATAAATTTTGAATTCAATCTAACTTATATATTGGATAGATATATGTACTAATTTACAAATGACACGAGAAACACACAACAATAACATAGGTAATCAAAGAGCTTGAAACTCTTTTAATATGATTGCATACCAGTGTATTCGTCCACCATGTTGAGTTTGACAATTCTTGGACTTCAAACTTACCAATTTTCCTTATTATATACATGACACATGTTAGTCCGTGATTGATGTTTTCTAAGCAAGGCAACAATCTCTTTGGGGTACTCATGTCATGCTTGTAACATGACTTTTGCTTTCATGTCATGTTCAACAAATCACAATTTTATTCTTTCAAATGTAGTTTTGATTAGGACACATATTGGCAAGACATGTGCCGCATTTAAAATATAATTGATGTACTCTACTAGATTGGTAATCATATATGTTCGTATCTTTTTTTCTCCAATATATGCTTGTGCCCATTTTTCTAATGAAATTTGATCTAACTAAAAGACAATTTGTTAAAACTCTAACTTTATAGCGAGATAATTTAGTTAGAAGTCTTGAATGTTTCATCTCATATATTGAAAAAAACAAAATAATCCAAAAGTTAATAAATATGAAATTAATGAAGAAAAATAAAAAAAGTTAAAGTTAAAATATATTACTATGTTAATTATTTATCCTTTCAACTTGACATTATTGAATTTCTCATTCAAGTTTGAAGTTATATGTCGAATGCAATACACTAACTTATTTGTGTCCCACCCAACTTCTTCATATTGTAATGCAAATATGGTTATTCCTTCATC